TAAAAGTAAATCAGAAGGGAATTTATAGTAAATAAGCAGGCAAATTTGCCTGCGAACCTCTACAGTTTAAGGGATAATAAATAATGTGAAATTGATTTTTGAATATAAATATTTAAATCATGATAATTATAGATTAAAATATTTAAATAATAATGAATGAAAAAGAATATTATTAAGTGCTAAATAACAAATTACTTTATTTAATAATAATTAAATCGGATCAGTTCTGAAATTATAATACAAATCTAAAGATCTGAATATTTAATCACTTGGACCAAAATTTTTTGAAGATTTGACAGGCAGGCCAATCCTTTTTCTCATGGGTATTTCTTTGTCCAAATCAATAAAATCGTTCCATAATAAACTTTCGCGCACATATAATTTGCTCCGGATTCATAACGGTTCTGTTTTCTAGTCGATCCAACATTTTCGTTTGCTTTGTAAATAATGACGTCTTCCACATTGGATTCGATGCACTTCCGAAGAGCCAGCTTTTCTGCTGAGCATGAATCAGATAAAGAATTTTACGATGGAAGGATTCTGATTTGAGAAAAATAATCGGGGGGGGGGGGGTTGTATTTTTTATACAATTTTCCGTCGCACTATTGATCAGATAAATCTAAATAATTTATGATTGGTTAAGAAAATTTAAGTTGCTTGCGTAATTCGCATTAAAAAATTTTCTCAAAAAATAAAACTTGAATTTCATTATAGTTTAATTTGCAACCTTTCGTCACTATGGCTTCATATCAACAAGACGTTAGAATGGATTTGGATCAAAGTCCTATAGAGACTTTGAATGAGCTTCGTAAGCAGTGTCCACCTGAATTACAAGAATATCTAAACACATTCGAAGACAATTATGATCGAAAGCTATGGCACCAACTTACCATAAAGATTGAGGAGTTTTTTTCGATACCGATTTCTAGTCCGTTTCAAGTACCGCTGTTTCAACACTTTATATCTGATTGGGAGAACAAGATGAATAAACTTAAATTAGTATCGTTGGGTCTTTCTGTCGTGAAACAATTTGAGGGTAAGGGATATAAGAAAATTTTATCCGATTTCGTTGAAGGATTTAAACAATTCTCATAATCATCTTACTCTTTACTTATTTATAGATCGTAATCAGGCATTAGCCTTCCTAACGTCTCTTGTAGATAAAGTTGACAAACCGGATACGCGTGATGCATATGTTCATGCTGTAATGGAAACAGCTTATATAAAACTTATGTTGAATGATTTTGAGGGAACAAAAGAATCCATTGATAAATGTGAAAAAATTCTCGATCAATTTGATTCGGTGGAAACCGTTATTCATGCTAGTTTTTATAGAGTTGCTGCTGAGTATTATAAGGTAAAATAATATAAATTTAACCTGTGAATCTTAAGCTACACAAAATCATTAATATTTCAACGAGAAATCATTAAGTTATGAATTTAGTTTTCTTGATTTTTAAATTTAGGCAAAAGCGAATTTTCCAGAATTCTACAAGAATGCTTTGCTTTATTTGGCATGTATTAATCTTGATGATTTGACATCAGAAGAAAAAACCAATAGAGCTTATGATTTGGCAATTAGTGCGCTCATGGGAGAAACCATTTATAACTTTGGTGAATTGGTTGGTTCAATAATTTTCTATTATGAGGGGAACATATTAGATGTAATACGCGTAACCGTCTAACAAACTTTTTTTATATTAGTTGATGCATCCTATTTTGGATGCTTTATCAGGAACTCCCCATGAATGGCTTAGAAATCTATTATTTGCGTATAATGCAGGAGATCTTACAAAGTTCGAATTGTTGTCGGTGAATTTTACTCAACTGGTAAGAAAGAGTTATGAACAAAATAATAATAATAATAATAATAATTTTCAAATTGTATTTTAGCTTCTAAATCTTTAAAGTTTACTAATATTTGACATATTTTTTAATCTTAGCAATTCTTACAAGAAAATATTGTATTTTTACGCCAAAAAATTTGTTTGATGTCATTGATCGAAGCCGTGTTTCAGAGGAGTTCGGATAACAGAACCATTGCATTTTCATCTATTTGTTCTGTAACTTTATTGCCTCCTGAAGAGGTAATGCGATCATTATCATTTATCGTTTTAAAATATATCATTTTTTTTTTTTTTAGATGTTTGAAAATAATTTATATTATAATTTCTTACTAATCATTTCATTTAATTTTTTTTTTTTTCCTTCCTTAATAAATAGGTAGAATATTTAATTATGAAAGCTCTTGCTCTTAAGTTAATTCGTGGATCAATTGATCAAGTTAAAGAAGAGGTCATGGTAACATGGGTTCAACCACGTGTATTAGATTTAGTTCAAATTGATGGTATGAGACAAAGATTACAAGAATGGGATGAGAATGTAAAGAAAACTGCTATTATTGTGGAAAATGAAACTCCTGAATTATTTATTCAATAAATTACAATGATATTATATTTAGACATTTTATTGATTAAACTGTTGACATTCTTGTAATACATTTTAAAGAAAAAAGTAACTTCGTGTTCTCATAAAAATTTTCTTTTATTTATATTTTACTATTATATGATTACACTTCTCACCACATCTTAAAGATAGTGGAAAAAGCGGAAATTTTCTTAAACCAATAAACATTAAGTTAATATACACAATTCATCCTTGAAAATGTGCGAACATTAAATTGTAAATATATATCATATCATAGTTATTTATCCAAAAATTGCTCAAGTTTCATGTAAGCCTTTTGTTTATCAAGATAATAGAAATTTTTATTTATTAAACATAACATACACATTAGATTAAAATGAAATGTATGTGGATCAGTAAATCAATTACTAAAGATTATATACAAAAAGATGAAAATCGAATGATTGATTCGTTCTTAATGAAGAAGATTATTATAAGGGGAATTTGATTGACGAAAAGAAAAGAGATGATGTTTATTTGACAAGGGGAAAAAAAAATTTACAAGGAATAGAAAGTAAAAAAATTGCATAATTCCTCTCCCTCCACTCGATAATATACTAAATAATGAATAATTGAATTACATGAATATGAAATAATTATTATTTTTTTTTTTTTTTTAAAAAAAAAAGAAAAATTTGTTGATAAAAGATAAGAGATAATAAAAGAAATGGGAAACGAAATTGAACCCTGCAAAAGGTCATATATACCCGTTTAATTTGACTTGAATTACATACTTGATTTAACCACCATCTCCAAAAGCGAATTCAGTTTGTTTACTTTAAGGATGCTTAATATTAATTATAATGGCCCTTGATAGGTCATAACTTGAACTCTATAGAGATAGGAATCTATAATTTTAATTTCCCCAAGCCTGTTGGGTCCCCCCTTTTTTTAAAAAAAATTTTTTTTTAAAAAAGAATCTCTATTCGATCAAATCTAAATCATTCGGAAAACTCGGGATTTTTTTGAGATGTCTTTTCAGGCAACGCCAGTGTGTCATAAGAACAAATGTCAGAGAATACATCATCTTCTTTTTCACCAACATCGGGCATTATTCCACAACAGTCTTTATATATGATTTCAAATGACCTACATAAATTTTTTAACCCTAGTAAATATCCCTTATCAAGACCTTCATTTGGTGGATACCTACATTCACTGGGAAGATAATCATTGCCCGTGGTACAGTGAGCAAAATCTATTATCCTAATGTCTATGTCACGTGGATTATTCTCATCAGCGTCATACAGCAATAATAAACTACTTGCATAAAATCGGTAGTTATCAAGATTCTTTATAATTTTAGCCAACTTTCGGAGTTTGCGAAGAATGACAGGAATTTGATGAACCAATAATTTGCTCCCATTATGGATAAAATCCTTTAAAGTATTATGAAAAGTATCTGGGTTCAGAAATCGACCATAATATTTGTCCTGGAATTTAAAGCTATGTGTGGTAGTCTTGTATACCTATATATAGAACAAAAAAAAAAAATATTTTTTTCTTTAATTAATGATCCAATGCCAAAGGTAATACTCATTTTAATTTTATTTATATCGATTTGATAACTTACTTGCATACCACAAATTCTTACTCCCAACGTTTTACTTGTGGTCTTTGCACATTTCTTCATTTGACTCTTACGTTTCTCTGGTGAAGCATCAATTCCATGTTGCCGAGTACCCATTTTGAGGTCTAAAACGCAAGGATACTTTAATCCTGCCGTGAGATCTTCAAGTAAGACGAATTGTTGAACTTTATCCAAATCATCATTAGATTTTTGTAATTTGGAAAGTTGAGTGGAATAACAATGCAACGACCAAGGATTGTTTGTTTTTTCTGCCAAATTATTATCAGGTGTCGATGGTGGTGTCAATGTCGCTGTTGATATTGGTGTTGATGGCGATATTGGTACTGGCTCTTCATCCAAAGTTTCTATAATACGCATTTTTGAGGGTCGACGGTGAAGATTTGTAGAAGTGTCTAGTGATGATGCACGTTCAAACATTTCCATTTTAAAGATTGTTGGAGATTCTGAGAGTGTTTGGGGTGTTATCTTTGGAGACAAAGAAGGTTGAACTTTCAAATTTTGGCAAGGAATTGATTGATTTTCTTTCCTCACTGAGGTCGATTCTTTATAATAGTTGTGCATTCCACAATTTTCTGAAGATTCAATAGAGGATACGTCATCCAGATCATCGAATATTGGAGAAACTATTGAACTTTTACACAACAAATTTTCTCTCAATGAGGTAGAACGAGATTTTTTCGGATTATTCTTGTTGATATGACCAAGTTCCGTTAAACTCCTCGACATTTCCGAATTATTGTTAGAATCGGATTTCTTTAGGGCAGCAATGTTTATCATTGAATGTCTCCTCTTCATAGAGGATTCTTTCTCTAAAGATCTTACTTGACGCATACGAGCTCGTAATGCTTTTGGGGAAAACACCTCACTAAGTACTTCTTCCTTTAATTGTTTGTTAACCTTGGTTGTTGACGAGTATAAGCCTTTAGAACTCAAACCAGAAGAAATGCCATTATCTTCGTTCTCCTTATCTGAACAATGATCATCATCGCCATCCAATGAATTCACTTTATTAAGCATCCATTCTGGTAGTAAATGTTTATTTTGTTTGAAAACTACTTCGGGCATTGATCCTAATTCACCATTCTGAGATCGATAAGTGACATTAAGGACTCCGAGATATCGAGGTACAAAGGGTAAAAGATCTGGATGCAATTTCTCTAAAATCTCATAAAATTGGTGTTCTCTTTGCACTAGAGGTTTACAAACAGCCTTTTTAGAAAACCTAAAAAAAGATGTGTGACCTCCAACTTGATTAGCAAATGGCATCAATCTAACTGAGGGTGGAGAAGAAGGATCATTGAAAAAACTATTGATTTCCTCATCATCATCATCATCGTCATCATCATCATCAGTAAAATCATCATTGTTGTCGTCATCGTCAGAGAATTTTTTTTCTGATTTAGAAGCATCATTATAATGGTCATGCTTCTCGATCATCACATTCTTTCTATCTGATGATTTGTGTGCAGAACTAAAATAATCCGTTACAATTGACGATGATGATTGTGAAGATGTCTCCGGATGAGAAGAATTTGAAGAAATTGGCGATACAATCGGAGTATTATCTTCGACGTTAAATGGAGGAATCGGTATACTATATTCAGCTAAGGAGGGTTTGAAAAGATTTAAAGACAAAGAAGCCTTTCTTCCATGTATTGATGAAATATCAATTAATGACGAATATGAATCATCCTCATATGAACCATTTAGTGATGACCCTGATAATTTTTTCTTTATAGTAGGAGAATCAGATACGGGCATAGTTAAACTTGGGGATGGTGGCGCTGGATTAACACCGGAAACGTCAGCGACAGATGAACCGACTGAGCAAAGATTATGATTGTGTAAAGAATTTGACAAGTTTGATCTACATTACCATATTTTAGTTTATAAAAAAGTTGATCAGAAGATTTGTTTATTGAAATGATATAAAGGTGTGTACAAACTTGGATAGCAGATACTGAATTGGCAGTTTCATTCGGTAGCTGTTAGCTGTATATGAGTGATGGATATTCAGTCTGAAATATCCAGATATCACATACGTGACACAATTGCAAAAAAGGAAAAAAAAAAAGAATTAAGAATGAATAAATAAATACCTTGATAAGTTCTCTGATCGTGATTGGTTATTTGATTGAAGTGTGATGTTTGATATTTGCGCCATACCGGATAAAAATGATTCGTCAGTCACACTACTTCGACAATGTTCGGTGAAAACGGATACTGAATGTGCTGTTTTTGTGAGAGTAATCATTGAAGAGAGAATTCCGAGAATTTTTCTTGCTTTCCGATAATTAATTATTCTTCTATTAATTTTTCACGGAAAGTAGAAGCTTTAAGAGATTTTTTTTTTCTCCTTGCCTCGGAATGGGACGAAGAAATTAATCTAAAAAGGATAAGCACAATTTTACTTTTTGTGTGGGAAATTATAAAATGCTAAAAGAAGCCTTGTCATAAATAATTAACAAGACTAATTAATTGTATTCTGTCGTTACCTAATGAATAAGAAAAATTATGAACGAGTTGATCTTAGTATTAACATTCTTTAAGTAACCAGTTTGAAAATTGTCTTTTAGTTCCTACCTACACAATACAATTGTAACAAAATAACGTTTTCGTGACCTCAAACGTACAAGAGAGTATGAAATAAAAGAATAGGATATTACCAAAACCTTTTTATATGTTATACCTTTAACGGACAACCGTTTTCAAAGGAAAAAGACAAGGTTTGAGAAAATTGTGTTGGTTCAAAACGTTGCTTATTTATCTGATATTTTGGGGTGTGAATAACATGACGTGTAACATATGTATGTTATGTATGGTGACACCATAGAAAACCCAAATTAAAATATATACTATTAGTTTTAATAAATAAAGATATCTCCGTCAAAAAATGTAGTCGCATGCGGCCGAACCAACAATTAGTTCTTAGAAAAATATATGGGAATCCGTGATAAAAGGTCCGAGGGAGAATGAATTGTTTCAGAAATTCAGGAATTTGCTTTGCGTTTTTTTATTTTTTTTTTTTCTCACTAAAATTAAATTTCCTTTTGATATTGAGGGGGCGACTTTGTAGTTCTTTTCTTTTTTTGGTAAGATCCCGATCCTCCAGTTAAGTTAATAAAAATAAAAACAAAATTGTTTATATTAAATATTAAAAACCTATAAAGAAATTTCTCACGCAGGGTATCTCCTCAGATAGAAGGCGCGTCATTTAATGACCACATGTTCGCCTTTATACATTAACTATAATTTTATTTTTTGTTATTATATTTATTATATGCAATGTTGTCAATGCTCTCTTTCATTTCACGCATCACATCGCGTCTCAAGATAAGAAATTCCATTTTACTCGGTTACACACAAACCAAGTACTATTAAAGTTATCCAAACGATATTTCATCATTTATAAAATTTTTCAACCAACGAATTCTTGGTATTTGACAAGGTGGACTGTTCTCATCATAATGAGAGTCACTTTAGATTGTCGTCTATCATTAGAAATCTTTGACTAATATAAATAATTCATCCACTCCAATATATGAAATTGAGAACGTGTTTGCGTAGTTGTTTGTTTCAATTTAATAATTTTTAATTTTTCGCTCGAGTACCACGCCTACTTGCATTGGCATTTGTCCAGATTAGGCCTCTCAATACTATTGAATTAATCATATTTGACATGTTAACGACTATCAATTTGTAGAAGATCTTCTGATTGTTGGTTGAAATTACACTAAAATATCCCTGATGTTCTTTTACCTTCATAATGTATTACAAGGAGTTAAAGGTGATAACTCCGAAAACTCGTGCAGTTAGTACCCCAAAATTATTGTGGCTAATTATTATGCTAATTAAAGAAATAATTAATAATGTGGCGAAATGCCTTAAATTAAATTTTGTATTATACATTCTTTAATTTACTGACTTTTTCCAAACAAAGCTATGATCTCCAAATAATTACACAAACAAAAAAAAACACCGTTTATCAAAGAATTTGGGAAAATAAAAAATTGGTTTCTCGATTCTTCTCTTTGTCTAATGATTAGAATAACAAAGTTGATAATAAAATCTTAATATAGTATAATTTTACATTTAATTTATTCATTAAAGTCACAACATATTCAAGATGCCAAAGTAAATATTCCGAAATTTCGAGATCTTAATAACATTTTAAGAATGCAATATTTTGTTGTAGTTTGTAGTCTATACAGTTTGGGTTAACATGAACAACTTTATTATATAGAGATCACGCAATAACTATTGGTAAACGTGCAGTCGTCTGTCAAGACATCGAACTGAAAGGTGAAATACAAATTGGTAAGAGACGACACCGTATATTAGGATATAAGGAAAATAGCTAACTATTTTGTCCGAATTTCGATATAATACCAATGATAGGACCTGGTAGGTACAAGTTTATTTGTTTTTTTATTTCCCTTTCAAGTTTTATAACTAATTTATTTATAAATATATATATATATATGTAGGAACCGTTTTACACCCTCAGTGTAAAATTCTTTCTGAAGGAGGTCCAATTATCATTGGTCAGAATAATATTGTCGAGGAAAATGTGACGATAATTAATAAGTAGGTAATATGGTCACATTGTAATAGAAAGGGAAGAAACTGCCGGAAAAAAAAAAAAATATTACTGATAATATTTAACGCTCAGGTTTAACGTCTCCCTTTCTACTTTAAATCGTCCATATTCATTTCTTCTCTTTTTACATTTAAAAAACTCAAAACGAGCGTTTAAATAATTCTTATTGTCAATAATATATTTTAGATTACCTACAGCTTTAACTATCGGAGATGATAACGTATTCGAAGTAGGATGCTGTAAGATCATTGAACTTTTGTCAAAATTCAAAATTTGTGCTATTAAATCAATCGCGTTAACATTTGATTATAGATGTTGAAGGATCGAAAATTGGAAGCAAGAATATAATAGAAGCAAAAGGTAGAAGTTAAGGAAGATAATAAATTTTTTTTTTTTTTTGTAATTTTGTTTAACTTTCCTTTTTTGAAACATAAACAGCAAGAATCCTGAGCGGTACCTCCCTAGGTAACAATTGTGTCGTTGGAGCTGTATGTTCGACCAAAAAGGATGAAATCATTCTGGATAATACTGTTATATATGGCGATCATCACAACAGACGAATTCAAACGGCGTCAGCCAATGTAAATATAAAACCTTTAATTTTTCCTTTTTAATATTCTTTGGACGTTCCTTATTAAAAAATGAACCTTAAATCATTTAAACAGCAAATTTCCAGCTTGCATACACGCCATTTGGATTATCTTCGAGAAGTTTTGCCCAAATTTAATCATATTCGTGTTGTTGGTGCACCCGAATCGCAAGAAATTGTCCCCATTTCGAGGAAAGCGATAAAACAAACAGCTTCACATTAGAATTGCATTGGAATTGATGATTTTTTAAGTTCTTATACAAACCTTTTTTAATTTTTATTTATTCTTTTCTTCCTTACTTTTTTTTATTATCACTGTTAATATGTTTTTAACAATTGAACAAGCTTGAAAATATTAAATGATACAAGTTTTCTTGAAACCCCCTCCTTTATATATATATATATATAAATATATATAGAAAAGTGTGAATTATTATTGTTTGTTTTGCTAAAGGTAACTAATCCCAAACAACGATATTTAATCTACACTTATATCAGAATTATTAAATAATTCTCATACTCATCAATCTTATAATTATCCTTATTCTTTTATTTTCATCTTAATGATCCAAGAAATTATCATGTGACTTGTATAAATACACGTTTATAAATAAAAAAAATTCCAATCCCGAAATCACAAGTAAAACATAATCATTTTCATTTCGTGTCCATCAAAAACTTGTCTGATAGTTCGATGCACGTATTCCAAAGGCAATTTATCCAATCCAGTCCCAATTCTAGGTAAACATAAAAGCTTAACATTTTTTTCTTCACACACTTTTCTTAGATCATTTATAGCCGATTCAAAATCTTCCTTTGTAGGTTTTTGAGAATATATTTTTTTTGTAATGATATAAAAAATATATCGATTATTATCTGGAAGTGTAGCGACTTGACCAACTTTTTTATGTTGATCAGATAATCCTCGCGTGCCATACAGTTTTTTAAATATTTTGGCTATACCTTTGCTCATTTTAAAATCAGCTGATACACAATGAGCTAAACTTGAATCCGCTGGTGCATCATTAAATAAATCACCTCGAGTTTCTACAAATATAAATTTGGAGGTTTCGGAGGATATTTGAGAGGGTTGACTGATGTTCGATGACATTTTTCTTTTTTTAGAGAAGTAAAGTAAGAAATTAAGGTTCATACTGTATGTCATACATAAATCGCAATCCGCAGTTAAACTATTATCCAGCCGCAGCAAAGGTTACACGATCAAACTTTTTGATATAAAAGCCCCCAAAATCCAACTTGAAAAGTTTTCTAATAAAGAAAATGTTGGACCTTAATCTTTTTCAAGTTGATAAAGGTGGTAATCCAGAACTAATTCGAGAGTCTCAACGAAGAAGAGGTGGTTCTGTTGAATTAGTTGACCAAATCATTAATATGTATGATGAATGGCGGAAAGGTATCTTTTTTATCGCATTTGGAAGCATTTTTTTTTTTTTTTTCGAGGGAAATATCGTATCGACTAACTTTTTTTTCGAATTGAATTAAATAGTAAAATTTGAATTGGATCAGATCCTCAAAAAACAAAATGCGATCCAAAAGGAAATCGGGTTGAAAAAAAAGGTGATTCATCGTTAACCACTTTTTATTATAATTCATTGACTTGTATTTACAATTATACATACTTATCTTTTATTAAAGAATAAAGAAGATGCGTCAACGTTGATTGCGGATAAGGAATCTCTCAATTCCGAAAAAGGACGTCTTACCACTTTGGAAAAAGAGAAGGAAGATTCACTTAAAGCGAAAGCTGCTTCTATAGGTAACATCGTCCACCAATCCGTTCCTACCTCATTAGATGAAGCCAATAATGAAGTTATTAGAAAATGGGTACCATCGGAGAACGTAGAAGGTAGTGATGGTGTTAAGGAACCTGTAAAGCAAACAGGTATCCTTTCGCATCATGAAGTCTTGTATAGAATTGATGGATATGATCCTGAGAGAGGTATTTTTCTACCATTTTCTTTTTTCTTTTTTTTTTTTGAGATCAGTAACGTATATGTAGTCACACTTTATGAATATTTATAATATTTATGCATAGTTTGGATTTTGATGCATGTAATAATTTATCGCAATTAAATAGGAACAAATATTGCCGGTCATCGAGGTTATTTCTTGACAAATGATGGAGTGGATCTTAATATGGCACTCATACAGTATGGACTTTCATTTTTGCGAAAGAGAGGGTATAAAAAATTACAGACGCCATTTTTTATGAGAAGAGAATATATGGCAAAGACAGCTCAATTGGAACAATTTGATGAAGAATTATATAAGGTAATAAAACATCATTATAGTGTCAATTTGAATTCTATAACATATGATATCATACTATATTTGGAGTAGGTTGTTGGAGAGGGTGAAGAGAAGGATGATAAATACTTAATTGCCACTTCAGAACAACCTCTTTCGGCATTTCATGCTAATGAATGGTTTGAACGACCATCAGAACAATTACCATTAAAGTGAGTTTGATCAAATTATGATTATTACATTTACAATTTTATACATTAAGTCATTGATAAATATTTTCTTTGGTTATTTGTAAGGTATGCTGGATATTCTACATGCTTCCGTAAAGAAGCTGGAGCACACGGAAAGGATACATGGGGAATTTTTAGAGTACATCAATTTGAAAAAATTGAACAATTTGTTATCACTGAACCAGAGAAATCGTGGGAACAATTTGATCAAATGATTAACATTTCAGAAGAATTTTATCAATCGCTTGGATTGCCTTATCAAATAGTTTCAATTGTATCAGGAGCACTCAACAATGCTGCAGCAAAAAAATATGATTTAGAAGCTTGGTTTCCTTTTCAAGGAGAATACAAAGAATTGGTTAGTTGTTCTAATTGTACTGATTATCAATCTAGAAGGTTAGAAATTAGATGTGGTATTAAAAAAATGAGCGATCGCGAAAAGAAATATGTTCATTGTTTAAATGCTACACTGTGTGCTACTGAAAGGGCTTTATGTTGTATACTGGAAAATTATCAAACACCTGATGTAAGTCTTTATGCTTTTTTTTTTTTTTTTAAAAAAAAAAAAGTTTTATCATTGGGTTTATTTTAATGGCGTTATCTATTTTTTTTTTTTTTTTTTTATAGGGGGTAGTTATACCAGAAGTGCTTCGTCCATATATGGATGGACGAGATTTCTTACCATTTGTTAAAGAGAAAATAAAGGCAAAAAAATGATAAACATATTTCTATTATATTTTTTATATATAGAACTCGATTTAATAAAATAATACGCGACACATTTATTTAAAGTCACAGAATGCATGCACATTGGTCCTGTATATTTAGAAATTTGTATTACTTGAATCCATAATATTTTGAAAATGTGTCCGATGACAACTGACACGACTCATACATGTCAATTAGTTTGTTTCCAAATTGGTGTTGCAAAATTTTAGCAATATAGTGTCATTATTCTAAGATTTTGATATCTGTCAATTTATCCCGTACAAATATATTATAAAAAAAATTGATTTGTTTTAATTTTTAACAAGGTCATATTTCGCAATTCGATCTTTTCTCCGCTCCACAGGATGATTGATGATATATATATTTATTTATTTATTTGAAAGGAAAAGACTTGAAACGCACCTTTTTTTATATATATGTAAAAATATTTATTAAAGATTTAGGGTTTCGTAAGTTTAAATAATAAACATAAGCGAAAACCCTAAATTGCGTAAAAAGTCCTCGAACTTTTACATACGAGTCTTAAGATGCTATCATAATCGAAAAAAAAGTGGAGTAAAAAATTTTTTTTTACAAAAATAAGCTAAAAAAAATAAGCTTATCACAATTATTTTTTTTTTTTTGTGAAAAATATAAAAGAAAAAGAAATATTTTTGATTTCTCTGATCACTTCTCAGCACCAAATGGAGAGAGATGTGAAGAATAAAAAAAGAAATAAAAAAAAATATATAGGTGACCCTAATGGTGACAAACAAAAACAAAAAAAAAAATAGTTTTTGAATTCGTTTATTTGTTTGGTCACCAAAGTCACAAAAAAAAATATATATAATAAATTTACTCCAAACTTTTTTTTTTTTTTTTTTAAGAAAAAAACACTAAGCAGCTTAAAAATTACAAAGAGTAAAAAATGGGATTCTTATCACTTTTATTTATTACTATAAGAAATTTTTTTTTTTTTACTAAAAAACAACATAGAGGTCCCAATTATTACTATAAAAGAAAAAAAAAATAAAACTTTGTAATTTCGAGCTTAATATTCTTCAGCTTCCTCTTCTTCACCCTCAAGTGAATCAGTTCCCACTTCCTCGTAATCCTTCTCCAACGCGGCTAAATCTTCACGTGCTTCAGAAAATTCACCTTCCTCCATACCTTCACCGACATACCAGTGAACAAAAGCTCGTTTAGCATACATCAAGTCAAATTTGTGATCAAGGCGTGCCCATGCTTCGGCAATGGCGGTTGTATTTGACAACATGCAAACAGCACGTTGAACTTTGGCAAGATCACCACCAGGAACAACAGTTGGGGGTTGGTAATTAATACCGACTTTGAAACCAGTTGGACACCAGTCTACAAATTGGATGGTTCTCTTGGTCTTGATTGTGGCAATAGCGGCGTTGACGTCCTTTGGAACGACATCACCACGGTATAATAAACAACAAGCCATATATTTGCCATGACGTGGGTCACATTTGACCATTTGATTGTTTGGTTCGAAGCAGGAATAAGTGATTTCAGCCACGGTAAGTTGCTCATGATAAGCCTTTTCAGCAGAAATGACTGGAGCGTATGTTACAAGGGGGAAGTGAATGCGAGGATAGGGAACCAAATTGGTTTGGAATTCTGTTAAATCCACGTTGAGAGACCCGTCAAAACGAAGTGATGCCGTAATGGAAGAAACCACTTGAGCAATCAATCTGTTTAAATTGGTGTAAGTTGGACGTTCGATGTCAAGATTTCTCCTGCAGATATCATAAATTGCTTCATTGTCAACCATAAAAGCACAGTCTGAATGTTCCAAAGTAGTGTGGGTTGTCAAAATAGAATTATAAGGTTCAACAACAGCAGTGGAAACTTGTGGTGCTGGATATACGGAAAATTCCAATTTTGATTTCTTTCCGTAATCGACCGAGAGACGTTCTAAAAGTAAAGCTCCAAAACCGGATCCAGTACCTCCACCAAATGAATGGAAAACCAAGAATCCTTGAAGTCCAGTGCAGTTATCAGCGAGCTTACGAATACGGTCAAGAACGAGATCGACGATTTCTTTACCAATAGTATAATGACCACGGGCGTAATTATTTGCTGCGTCTTCCTTTCCAGTGATTAATTGCTCGGGGTGAAACAATTGACGGTAAGTACCAGTACGAACTTCATCAACGACGGTGGGTTCTAAATCAACGAACACTGTACGGGGAACATGTTTGCCAGCTCCGGTTTCAGAGAAAAAAGTATTAAAGGAGTCATCGCAAACCCCAACGGATTTGTCTGATGGCATTTGACCATCGGGCTATAAGTGATTAAGGAGATTTATTAGCTATGTCATAATTTTTAATTATTTTTTGAAAGCTAATATAATAAAAAAAAAAAACAACGCGAGGTTTCTCTCTGATGACGAACATAACTAAAGAAAAGAACAAAAAAAAACACAAAAGGATTCTAAGACGCGTTTTGCAACGAGATGATGATCTCGGAATAATATAAATATTTCCTTTTTTGGCAACGTGGTATTCGCGCTTTTTTTTAAGCGAAGAAAATGAAGAAAATGAAATAATCACCTGAATCCCGTGCTCAAGGCAATAAAGTTCCCAGCAGGCGTTACCGATTTGAACACCAGCCTGTCCAACGTGGATAGAAATACACTCACGCATTTTGATTGTGTGTTTAAAAAAAGGTGTGAAAAAAAGAAAAAGGTTTTAAAGAGGAAGCTAAAAGCTTGATTATTATTATTATTATTATTTAGAAAGTAAATATCTGGGGTTGGTTGCGCAACTTGATTTATGGAAAGTTTGCTAAGAACCTAAGGATCTTTTCGAGTGAATTTTGAGTGCTTTTAAATGAAAATTTTTTGATAAGGTTACAGATCCGGTAAAACCCGTTGATT